TCCCTAATAAAACAATTTTTTTAAAAAGTATTGTGAATCAAATATGGGAACATGAGTGAAAATAAGGCTGCCTTTAGGGATGAAAAAAGCTTTCATTTCATTCCTTCCATTTGTCGGTTTTGTATATTTAAACCTAGTCTAGGGAAAAAGTTCATCTATGTGTACCTGAATGTACTTCTATACAGTAGTAGACATGTTCTACGTTAAAAGGCCATTAGTCTGATGGGTACCAAGAAGCAAACTTCATCTCCACACAAGAGAAACCCTATCTAGTGCTTTGGAGTGATCAGTGATCGACTCAAACCAAATGACCTCTGCAGTCGGAGATTGATGTTAGGGGAGCCTCTGTCCAGTAGGGAAGTAGTGATGTTCTTGGGTTTTGTTTGTTTGTTTGTGGTTTAATAGTCTTATGTTTTCTTTATGGCTAAGATTGGAAAAAAGCAAAGTCGTCACACAGTGTTTTAAAACAAAGTTGTTAAGTCATATTGTATCATTTAACCAAGCAGCTACCTTAAAGTAAAAAGTAAAGAAGCCTTGTTAAAATAGATTTGTTAGTGAAACAAGGGATGTCTTGCTGGCATCAGACGGATCTTAGCTAAAAGCAGAGAATTCCAGAAAGATGTTTACTTGTGTTTTATTGACTCTGTCAAGGCATTGGGTTGTGTGGATCGTAACAAACTGGATAATCTTGAGGAGAATGGGAGTCCCAGAACACTTCGGTGTGCTCATGAAGAACGTGTACGTGGATCAAGAGGCAGCTGTGCCAACAGAACAAGGGCAGACTGCATGTTTTAAAATAAGGAAAGGTCAAGGTTGTGTCCTCTCCCCGTACTTACTCAAACTGTATGCTGAGTAAATCATCAGAGAAACGGCATTAGATGAAGAAGAAGGTGGCCCCGGTTGCAGGAAGGCTTATTAGCAATCTGTGATGTGAAGGTGACACAAGCTTGCTTGCTGAAGCATTTGCTGATAAAGATCAAGGGTTTCACCCTTAAGTCTAGTTTACAAATTTATGTGAAGAAAACCGAAATGTTCACAACTGGGCCAATAGATAACATGATAAATGGAGAAAAGATAGATGTTGTCAAGGATTTTGTTTTGCTTGGATCCACAATCTCTCACGGAAGGAGCAGTCAAGTGATCAAAAGACGGGTTGCATGAGGTAAATCTGTTACACAGGCCTCTAGAATATGGAAAAGCAAGGCTGTCACTTTGAGGACTAAGATGCGGCTGACCCAAGCCATGGTGTTTTCAAGTGCCTCATGGGTGAAAAAGTTGGACATTGACTAAGGAAGAATTGGTGCATTGGAAGTGTGGTGCTGGAGAAGACTGTTGAGAGTGCCATGGACTTCCAAAAGGACCAACCGATCTGTGTTGGAAGAAGTATGACTAGAGTGCTCCTCAAAGGCATGGATGGCGAGACTTCCTCGTACGCACGTTGCACGTGTTGTCAGGAGAAACCAGTCCCCGGGGAAGGACCCTGTGCTTGGTAAAGCAGAGGGGCAGCAAAACAGAAGGCCTTCAAGGACACGAATTGACAGTGATCGCAACAATGGCTCCAGCGATGACTCGAGACCAGGCAGCGTCTCCTGCTGTTGTGCACAGGCTGGTTTGGGTCAAGACCGACTCCATGACACTTAACAACAGCAGTTACTCAGTGTTGCTATAGCAGGAGTGCTACAAATGGGTGACTTTATCAAACATAAATTTGCTTCCTCCCAGTTAGGAGACTGAAAGTCCAAATTCCAGGTGCTGGCTCTAAGGGAAGGCTTTCCTCTCTGCTGACTAGGGAGGAAGGTGCTGGTCTCTGAAGTTCTGCTCCTGAACGATAGCTTCGTGTGACTTGGCATTTGTCTTCTCCTTCCGCCACCTCTTTCTATTGTCCCTTGCTCAAAAGAGATTGGCCATGGGATTATGCAAGTACATAGAGGCTGGGATAAAGAACACATTCAGGGGGGAGGGAGGAACAATTCCATCCGTAATGATATATTTAAAACAAATTCCAGGGGATTATTCTTTAACACTATGACACTATACAAATATCACTTGCTTTGGATTATGTTAGTAGTTTTCTTATGAGGTAGGGAAAGTGATGAAGGATCTACTCAGTTAACTGAAATATTTGCTTCAGGGAGCAATTGAAGGCAAGTCTGCAGAAACTTGGCAGGGTTCACATTTCCTTTTGCCGATTCAAGGGAACGTTTCCTTCCAGTTCCTCTGAGGATGTGGTTACTGGCTTGACTGTGGTTATAACACTCAGGTATGCACGAGAGGAGAGATCATCCGTGTGAAAGTGTTGGGCATACTCGCCATGATTGACGAAGGGGAGACCGACTGGAAAGTCATTGCCATTAATGTGGACGATCCGGACGCGCCCAATTTCAATGGTAAGAAGCCTGTTTTTGAGGAGACTGAAGTCTTTGTACCTGCCTCTTAAGGCACCACCAAACCGAGCCCACAGACCATGTCCTTCAGACTTCTGAAGGATGGAGGGGAAACCCATTTGAAGGGAAGCATTATTACCTCGACTGCCGAACTTCTGTAATCAACTAGGTAGCATGTTCTTGTGTTCTAGGTATGAAAAAAGCTGTTGGACCTTTCCTTCTTTTCTGTCTTCCCCTTTCCTTCCCACATACTACCCCTCATTTGTCTGCTTTCCTTCTCTTTCATGGAGATAGGACTCATAAACCACACACTCATGCATTTCTCTGAAAGAAAGCATGTGTGTGTGTGTGTGTGTGTGTGTGTATCACCGAGTAGTGAGCAATCACCATGATCTGATTCTAAAACATTTTCACCATCCCCAAAAGAAACCCTGTATTCAGTAACCAGCATTCCCTCCCTGCCCCCAGGCTACCAATCCACTGTGTGTCTTTATGGGTTTGTCTATTTTTAACACTTCATCTAGGAGCCCTGGTGGCTTGATGGTTGCACACTGGGCTGCCATCCACAAGGGCAGTAGTTCAAACCACCAGCAGCTCTGCGGGAGAAAGATGAAGTTGTCTATTCCCACAGAGTGTTACAGTCTCAGAACCTCACACAGGCAGTTGGCCAGTTGGTTCTTACCTTGGTCCACAGCTGCAGTTCTCAACCTGTGGTTTGCGACCCCAAGGGGTTGCCTAGGAACCGAGCCACCACTCCTTTCCAGGCAGGTCTGCTATCTCAGCCTTCCCACCATGTTGACTGTTTGCACGCTGTCACAAAATGTAGCAGTGTAGTTTACTGTTGTTATACTAAGACTGTTACCCATGCTGCACCAGGCTTCAGGACAAAATTTCATTGATTTGTAATTAGAAATAAATATTTCACAATATAGAGTTACATATTGTTTTTGTGATGAATCCCTATGCTTTGGTTATGTTCAATTTATAACAATGAAAATACATCTTATCAAATATTTACATTATGATTCATAACAGTAGCAAAATTACAGTGATGAAGTAGCAACGAAAATAATGTTATGGTTGGGGGTCACCACAACATGAGGCTATGTGAAAGGGTCGTGGCCTGAGGAAGGTTGAGAACCGCTGGTCTACAGGTTGCTATGTGTCGGAGTCTACTGACTGGCAGTGAGTGTTTGGGAACGGCTTGTCTAAATGGAACCTTACAATATTTTTTCCACTTAGCCTAATGTGTTCTGTGTTGTAGCATGTATCAGGACTTTTTGATGATTGAGTAGTATTCCATTATTAGGAGCCCCAGTGTGTTGTGGTTATGAGTGCAGCTGCTAGCCACAAAGTCAGCAGTTCAAAACCACCAGTGGCTCTGTAGGAGAAAGCCGAGACTCTCTACTTCTGTAAAGAGTTACAGTCATTTTGGCTCATAGCAACTCTGTAGGACAGAGTAGAACCGCCCTGTGAGTTTCTGAGACTGAATCTTTAAGGGAGCCAAAAACCTCATCTTTCCCCCTCAGTGGAGCTGATGGGTTCAAAGTGCTGACCATGTGGTTAATAATCCCATCACATAAACCAGCCAGCCAGGGCACTGTGCCACCAGGGCAAACGGAAAGTTGGAAGGGGTCCCCTCAGTGGCATTGTCTCAGTTATCTGGTGTTGCTACCGCAGACCACAGACATGGCTTCCCCCAACAGATGCTTCTTTTCCTCACCGGTTAGGAGGCCGGAAGTCCAGAGGCAGGGTTCTCGCTCTAGGGGAAGGTCTTCCTTTCCCTGGTAGCTCACTTTGAGCTTCCGCTTCTGGGAGGTCTTCCTCTGGCTTAGCCTCTCTTCTTCCCACTCCACTCCCTTCTTTCTCCTTGTGAGCGATTGACTCTAGACACATCCCCCAGCCCTTCTGTCATTAACATAAGAGAAAGCTCATCCCGAATGAGATTATAACCGGAGGCATCGAACACTTGTTTTGTGGGGGCCCTGTTCAAATCATAGCATTCCATTGTTTGAGCCCTAGGGTTTTATGTCCTTGCCCTATGTGAAACACATCAGCCCAAACTCCTCAATACCCACACCACATCATCTCCAAATCTTAAACTGTTGTGATGTCAAATGCCTATACTATTGAGTAATAAGCAAAGTCTAATCGCCTGAAAAATTAAGCTTTTTTTCCTTTCCTTACTGTCTCTGTGACTGGGCTGTGATCCTGTGAAAAATAGTCTAACTTTTAAAATGTCTTCTGTTCTTCCAACAGAAGGTTCCCTTATACTCCCCAAACTGGTTTTTAATTGTGGAACCTCCAGTCATGTCTCCCTTCTTTTGCCTTCAGAGCCGTTAATGTTGTACTGATTGTCCCCTTGTGTTTAATGTCAGCCTTTCTTTCTGACGTGGTGTCCTGGCTGTTACAAAGCTGTCAGCCAAAAGGTTCCAGGTTCCAGTCTCCCTAGAAGTGTTTCCGAATAAAGGCCTGGCAATCTACTTCTGAAAAACTGCCTGGACCCAGCAACAACGACCAAGTGAAATAGAGAAAATTTCAATCAGAAATAAAGTAAACTATTTAATGGCAATAAAGTTAAAGTGGGTCAAAAGGAGATCACATGAAAACATTTTAGCCTGACTACAGCTGCTGAAGTCTACTTTACACCGTTTTCTGTCTCATTTGTGTACATACCACATTTTGTTCCGTCATGAACAGCTATCAAGCTGTTTGGGTTGTTTTAACTTTTGCACTATTATAAGTAACTTTGCTGTGAACACGCATGTTTAAGTTTTGTGTGGACATTTGGTTTTAATTCTCTTAGTTCATGTGTAGATATATTGCTGGGTTATATGGTAGTCTGTTTAACCATTTGAAGAACTTCCAGTTTTTTCCTTAGCAGTTATACCATTTTCTTATTTTTTTAAAATCATTTTATTGGGGGCTCTTATAGCTCTTAACCCCAATCCATCCCTCCATCCATGTGTCAAGTATGTTTGTATATATGTTGCCATCATCATTTTCAAATCATTCTCTTTCTACTTGAACCCTTGGTATCAGCTCAACCCCCACCCCTGCCCCACCACCACCATTTTATATTTCTACCGGCAACATAAAGGTTTCTATTTTTCTTTATCATTACCAGCACTTGTAGTCTCTATTTTTTATTATAACGTTTGTGCTTTGGTGAAGCACATTTTTGGTTTAGATTTGCATTTCCCTAATGGTTTTTTATATTCTTATTGTC